CTCAATGCCACCCTCTCTGACCCCAGTGCCCCCTCCTTCCCCTCATTAACCCCTGCCTGCCCTCTGAAATGCCTTTCTCCTCCCTCGCTGGAGACCTGTTGCTTTTATCCTGCTTCGTTCGAGTCTCAGTTGTTATTTGCCTCATGTTATGCTTGCAGCTTCAGGATTTCTCTCCTTTTTGTACCTTGTTGCTGTGTAGCCTTGTTCAGTCGTGTTCAGAGAATGGAAAATGTCAGTCCTGTTCCAGCACAGGACTCAATTCTGCATTTACCTGGGAAGCATTTCCCAAAAGGCAGAGCGCTGAACTGCAGCTCCATACTGGCTGCCTTGCTATAACTTACCGGGAAAAATGACACTCTTCAAGAAAGATTATGTAAATGCAGCTCTCAGTTGTTTGTCAGTCCATGCTGCATGTGTAAACATGCATTCACACATTCTCCCGGGGTCTGGTGCGTACCGTGACAGCTTCAGTCTGGGATGGCATTAATAGCTGCGCCTTCGCGGCTGTTGGAGAAGGCTCGATGCCACCAGATGCCGATGAACCGATAACGGGCCTGGGGTGGCTTTTAGCCACGTCGTCACTCAAGACACCAGTCCAAGGCATGGTCCCAGCTCAGCTCCCCGGCAGCGATTGCTGTGGAGAGGCTGCAGCTTGTGGTTAGCACACTGCCAAGGCAGGAGGAGCCTCTAAGCCCTGTAAGCACTGCAGCAGCTCCTCTGAATCCTGCCAGCATCCTGCACGTGGAACTGGGAGTTGTGCCTCTGGTGCCTTGTTTGATTCCTTATTTAGTGAGCTCTGCTCTCCAAATATCCCAATTTTGGGCCGAGCCTGTTTCCAGCAAAATGAGTAGAGAAAGGGGAGAACTGCAGGACTGCAGGTAGGAGCCGTCCTGTGCGTAGGTAGGGTGCAGTGTGGCGGCAGCAGTCCAACCTCGCCACATCCCGTGGCCCGTGCCTTTCACATAAGCATGTTGCTGTGTCTTCTGGTCTGCCTAGAAGGAAGAGCTTGACTTTTGCAATTTCCCCAGTGTCCCCTGCAGCTTGTCGTGGCCGTGTTGTGGATACCAAGAGGGAAGCCAGCCTCCAGCAGGGTTACCTGTCATGAGAACAGGGGTCTGAACTGTCCATCCTGCCCCAGCAATGACTTAAGGGCCATTAGAATCCAGCTTTAATAGTCCTGTGCAAACACAGCTCTGCATGTTCTTTCTCAAACTGCTTGGCTGTGTCTGCTTCGTGCAGTTTGCTGAGGTAAAAAAGACCCTCACGCAGACAGGTTGTTCTTTTCCTTGATGCCGGTTGTCGGTCGTTCTGTTTGCATCTGTCTGTCTGACTCTCTCCCTCACCTTTATGCAGTGACTCCAGGGATGAAGATTTATATTGATCCGTTCACCTACGAAGATCCCAATGAGGCTGTCAGGGAATTTGCAAAAGAAATCGATATCTCTTGTGTCAAAATCGAGCAGGTGATCGGGGCAGGTAGGTGAACTGTGGATGTTGGTCTCAGGCTTTAGCCTTACATGTACTGGGAGGACTGGTGTGTCAGTAAGGTGTGACACTTAGCTCCAGCCAGGACTACCAGGAGCAAAGGTGGTCCAGTGCTGGAGACAAGGAGTTCCCATGTCCAGCACACCAATGAGTCCACCTGAAGGGAGATCTTTGATGTGGGGTGAGGGAGGAAGCACAGATGAGATGGTATGTGCTCATCTCAGGCACATGCAGGGTGGGAGTAGCTGGAGCCCATGAGATTAGGGGAGAAAGGCAGAAACGTGGGAGACTGATAAGCCCTACCTGTTGTGTTCTGTTCACAGGGGAGTTTGGCGAGGTGTGCAGCGGGCATCTCAAGCTTCCTGGCAAAAGAGAGATCTTTGTGGCCATCAAGACCCTGAAGTCTGGTTACACGGAGAAGCAGAGAAGAGACTTCTTGAGCGAAGCCAGCATCATGGGGCAGTTCGACCACCCCAACGTCATCCATCTGGAGGGGGTGGTGACCAAGAGCTCACCAGTCATGATCATTACTGAGTTCATGGAGAACGGCTCGCTGGACTCCTTCTTGCGGGTATGAGATCCCAGGAACACGCAGCTCGAGAGGAGGGCTGGAGGGGAAGGTTCCCTTCACTGTGCCCGTGTAGTGGTGCCCTTCACTGCCGGGTGTCTCCTGCCACTGGGGCAGCTGCTGCACAGCCCAGTGGGCTGTGTCTCAGAAGTGGAGGTGGCACCAAGGCAGTCATCTCTTGATGTGTATTTGTACTAGCGAAAGGCTGTGCCTGCCTGTATGCCCACAGGTGCCTGTGGATGTGCAGGGACAGTCTGATGTGGCTTTATCACAGCAGGACTTCACCTCCAGCTGCCATATCTAAATATTTATAGGCCTGAGTTTAAAATTAGTAATTCACTGTGTTGAAGGGAGATAACCTGCATAACAGGAGCCTGTCCCTTCTGAACCCTCCTGTGGAATGTGTGACACAACATCAGCCATCGAAGTGATACCCACAGGGTATGTGAGGGTGATTTCCAGCCCCTCTGAGCTCTCCTCTCTCCACCCTTGTGCTTTGAGAGGGAACTTAGGTACCTGTGGCATAGCTGTGTCTTGACATGCAGCATAGAAACAGGCTACGGGCTCTTTGCTGGAGCATGGCAGCCTGTGAGTTTCCTCCTCTCACGTGGGCTTTTTGCCTTTCTCCCCCTAAGCAAAACGATGGGCAGTTCACAGTGATCCA